GGGGGGGGGGGGGGTGCATCACCATTACCTTTCTATGGCATTTTATAAAACATGATCTATTTTCTATGCCTAAAAATCGCCGTTTGATGACTAAAACTTGCTGAAGTCGGTTCTTCTTTTCTTCGTTCCTGAGCCTACATTCACACGATGCTGTTCAGGAAATGACTCTGGATCAGCCCTACAGAGTTCAGGGAGTCTGAAGGCTTCAGAAAGAAATCAAGCTGTGCTGTAAACTAAAGGAAGAGGGAAGCATCGCGGGAAGCAGCTGCTTCTGGTCCGATAACGCGCGCTCAGTCCGAAACTCTGAACTAAACACGAAGACCTCAGACTCATTCAACACACAAGTCACAAAGTGAAAATGATTAACTTTCAGCAGAAAAACAAGCTAGTCGAAGAGCAATACAAATCAATCTTAAAGAAAAGTTATGACATATTTGTAATATAGGCTAGTACGCGTGTAGTGTTAAATAATGACTAGTTTAATTTGATGATAACATTCACTCAGCTTTCACTTGAATGTTTAGAAAGAAAGAAACGCCTAAAGCAGAAGACGCGGGTTGTAGCACTGTATACTTTCCTCACGAAAGCGTAAAGCTCCTTTATTGTGTTTTTCAAACACTGATACAGATTTCTTGAAGATGTGTGTGTCTGATCTAATATCACCGCCTGCTGGACAACTGAGACAAGAAGATCAGATCGGACCCGCCACACTTCAGAAGAAAATAAACATGATTTCTCCATAAATATAATATGTTAGCGCTTGTGAGATCATCTGCATTGCCAGAACAGCTATAGGCACATTTCCACAATAAATCATCATTGGTTGTATTCAGGGTCGGCGCCAGAGCGCACAAAGTGAGGGGCAGCCACAATTTATTGGGGGGTGGGTGGGGGTGGCTGCTTTGAAAAAAAAAATTGTCTGACATGCAACTTGTACATAAAATAATCTGACATATAGCCTATGTACAGTTTAATAACATATAGCCTAGTTTGATATATGAATTGGGTGTTCGTCAAAGATCGCATGCACAGCTCCGTAAAATAACCCACTGGAAGCTCTGTAGTTTTGCTGTATAGGCCTATAGATTAAACTATTAAAATTACAAACACACAACATTTTGAGTTACTTCCATTTCTGAAAAAAAGAATGTAGGCCTAGTAATTGATGTTATAAATACACACGCCTGATTTTTGTTTTAATTATCCATCGTACATTAAAAAAAAAAAACATTTGCAATCAAGACTGAAAAAAGCCAGAAGTGAATGTAAAGCAGATTTGGCCCAGACTCTGTTGCTCTCTGTGAAGCCAAGCATAAGAATAGCCCACTAATGTACATGTGTTAACCCACAGTAACACATTTTAACAGATTAATCGCATATTTTCGTTTGCTGCATGCTTTTAAAAACACAACTTTTTTTTTTTTGAGGAAAATAAAAAAAAGATTTTCAGAGATAATAACAGCAGGCCTAATAATGTTGTAATGTACCAACATTATGAACACTATAGGATAATTTAGTTCCCCTCACTTTACAACAAATCCTTTAAATTGAACCGTATCAGAACAGAATAAGAATTTAGAAATATATAATTCTAATGGATAAATATAATTGCAGTATATAATAATATATGCTTAGCAATAAACATGCCAAAACAAATTAATTTATAAAGAAACGTAAGGTAAAGTTGGGCTTACCTCTCTCAGGCACAAATCCAAATGTGTCCATATTCGAGATGTAGCTGAAGCTAAACTATTAGCCTTATTAGGTAAAATAGGCTTTGTTCCAGTATCGACGGAAAAATATCATAATGAGCAAAAATATGCCCCAGTGGACCGGCACCGGGTCTCGCGCCGAACAGCACGGTGACCGGCTGCGCTGTTTCAGATGAATGCAGCAGCTTAGTGTGCGCGTGAGGCGCCGGCGCGATCAAACAGCTGACACATCAAATACACTACTCCTCATTGTTGGTCAGACAGTAAAGGCATAATTCGAAACTGCAAACTCCAAAGTGTTAGCAGTTTGAAAATTCAAGAATAATAGAAAAGTTAATAAGAATTCTTTCTAAATGCAGCACTGTTCTTATTTCGCTCTGCAAAACCTGAACGAAAAAAATTGAATTGAAAACATTTCGCTTTAATCAGTGTATTTAACAGCCTGGGAGACCTTCTCAGGGCAGTACCTTGCCTCACCGACTAAAATCAGGGCGCCCACTACGGAGACGGCCCCAAAGGTGAGGGGGCACAGTGACCGAGGCTGTGATGTAGAAGTATTCACTGCGAAGCTTGCAGCGGAGAGAACACGGATTCACAGCCAATCTCATTCTCAGCAGAAAGAAAACAAGTGTTTTAAAGCTTGTTATTTTGTAGAACATCACAGTTAT